ATATATGTGCACCCATGTTTATAGCAGCACAGTTTGTAATAGCTAAAGCTTGGAAACAGCCCAAATGCCCATCAACTGGAGACTGGATAAAGAAGATGTGGGTTTTTTAATAAAATGGAGTACTACTCTACCATAAAGAATGTAAAACTAGAGTCATTTATAGCTAAATGGATGCATATCAAGGCCATACTCTTAAGTGAAATAAATAGGACACACATATGTAAATACAGAATAGTTTCTCTAGTGTGAGAAACTGATAGTGTAAATAAGGGTTAAAATGATTAAAAGGAATAATTGATAATTTGAAATAGGAAAAAAGATCCAAAGACGTAAGGGTAAAGGGAGGGGAAGGGGAAAGGAAAGAAGGGAAAGGAAATATTATGAGAAAAGAAAAAAATGGAAATGATTTCTATGTAAATAGGGAAGTGTGGAGGGGGTGAAGGGTGCACAGATAATGGGGTAAAAATAAGAATCAAGATACATTATGTACAGGTACTAACACCCAATGATAAATGTAGATGTATTGTATACCTAAAATGTACCAATAAAAGAACCTAAGAAAAATAAAAATAGAAGGCCTCTTAGGGGATTATTTCTAGCATAAAATAAATATAAATTTGTGAAATATTCAGTATGTTCAGCTCCATTTCATATAAAATGAATGCAACACTACCACTTTGCTAGATTATAAAATAAAATATAAGCAGTACAGGCTAAGCATAGACTTTCAAGGAGCAAGGAATTAGTGTCCTCTATGGGAAGAATCTGGATCACTTGAGGTATAATCAAGCAATTCTTGAGGACTAGTTTCTGCTTTTGATGGAATAAGTTCTAACCAACCAAAGAGTGAACAGTGCCATTGCTCCATCCTAGTTCTTGTTCTCAGAACAAGACTTTAAGGCTCCAGTGTTCCCTCCGTCCATGCACTCAGGGTTGTGGGAAACATCCAAGCACAGGCATATTCCTGAACACATTGGTGGATGAGGAAACCAAACAGACTGATTTTTGTGCTGAGGGAGACAGCAAAGGCAACTAAGGAATCCAGTGAACTTTCAGATCCACCCCTTCTGAAAACCACTTGGAACAGGCCTGGGGACTCACCCCAGTGAGCAGTTCAGCCAACTGCAGTGCCCTAATAGCTAATAGCCTGAGTTCCTCCTGGATATACTTCTCAGGGGATCTGTGAGTAGTCATCCCCCTCTCCATATCTATCTCTTATTGCTGTTTCCCATCCAGTCATTGCAGCAAGTTATCTTCAGAAACCATGGAGTATGGAGTGTGTTTATTCCATGACTTCTGATTCCTGGAGGTCAGCTTCAGCAAAATAAAGCCTCTACTCAAAATGGCTCCTAGTCCTATCACTTGAAGATATGGTGGATGGTCCAGTGGCTTTCTTCTCCAAAGCTAGCTTGTCATGTGAGAGGAATCACTTTCAGAGTACACCTCCACATTGGATTTACAGCTTGCAATAACCTTAGAGATTTTCTTTTTTATGTTGTTGTTTTGAAACAGGTTCTGGCTATGTAGTTCAGGCTAGTCTTGAACTCACTGTGTACCCCAGGCTGGCCTCAAACTCACAGTAATCCTTCTGCCTCAGCCTCCCAAGTGCTGAGATTGGACCATTATGCCCAGCTTGACCTTGGGTTTTTCTTGCAGCTAGCCACACAGATCTATTGTTTACTGCTTGTGCTTCTGGCCCTTTCTGACTGCTCCCTTGGAGCTAGTGAAGGTGTTGTGAATTGCTTTGCTCTTTTCTCCACTTTACCTTTCTATTTCTCTGTGATTTTTAGCTTCTCATCATCCTTTCTTCATTCCCAGAGCTCCTCTTCTTTCTCCTCATTGAGTAGCTATTTTCTGGCTGTCTCAATTCCAAGTCTTTAACTGCTGACTGTACCTACCCCACCTTCGTACAGATCCATGGTATTTCTTATCCTAATGTTTTGGACACAGTCATATGCCACTATCACTGATGCTTTGATAGCTAGAATAGTACTGTGAGATATTTCAGTGGTCACTCAGGTTGTACAATTTTTTCTTTGATCATTCTTGGTGAGAATGAGTAGTAGAGAAACATTAAATATTAACCAGAACACTGGGTCAACCAATCCTGACTATCAGATATAGTTTTCTGCTGTTTCAACTGGATTAATAAAGAACTGAGTCTGTCCCACTGAATAAACAGGATGAATAAGGAATAGAAATTAGTAAAGAGCAGAGGACTGAGGCAAATATTGAATTGGGTAAAGTCCAAGGATTAACAGTACTTGTTGGATTGAAAATAAGACAATTCACAATAAGAGAATTACTCTTTTTAATTTTGTTGAAATCATTTATACTGGAACCAAGTCATGTTCCTATATAAATTTAACAGTTGTACAGATTTACACTCTCCTTGAAGATCCTAAAACTTGTTCATAAAAAATTCTATCCAACAGTGAACACAACTTGACATTAAAGAAATACAGAAAACAGGGCCGGGGATCTAGCTCAGTGGCACTACGCCTGCCTTGCAAGAGCAAGGTCCTCAGTTCAATCCCCAGTGTCCAAAGAAAAAGAACAAACAAAACCAGAAAAATAGAAAAACCAATGACATCAACATTTGTTAACAAGTCACAGAGCATCTCTGTCAAAGGAAAGAGCTACTGTGTATCATAAATGACATCTAGCTGTAGGTTAGATTGTGCATAGTGGGCATGGGTATCTCCTCTTTCATAGGCAGCAGAGGCTGAGAAGCACTTGAAGGCATGAACTATGCAGATATAGGTCACCATCACTGGTCAGTTGGGGATTCCAATCATGTGATCTTAACAGTTTCACTTCATGATCATTTCATCACCACTGCTCTAGACAGAGTAATTTCAGCATAAACTCTTACCTTTTCCCTTTGCACTGCATACAAGCTCAGAATGTTTAACGTGCTACATCTCTTTTGTTTTCATATATCATTAATTGTTCTCACATCATTGGATTTTCATGCTATAGTTTTCTAAATTCTTCATTTATACATCTCTGTAGCAATGCACCCCAAAGCAACTCAATGAACAATTCTAAATTATTAACTATATACACCAACAAGGCCTTGACTTGAGTATAAAGCAGACTTTTCTTGTGCTAAGGATACAGTGTAAGGTGTTTTTCTAGTGACCTGAATGGGAGGGTGTGATTCAATGGAGAAGGGTGGAGACCAGTACTGACCCTGTTAAAGGATTTCTCTTTCTTGGCTCCAGAGCTCAATATGATCTCCTATGGGTTTTTGTGCCATTTGCTCATGTGAGAAACTCCTTTCCACTAAAGGGGGCAACGTTCAGCTATGGAAAAGGCCCTTCCTCTGTTCAGATGCCACAAGTTTCCATATTGGACTGCAAGAAGAGTTATAATTCAACCTATTCATCCCAAAAGAATTGGATTAAATGTGCCTTTTCAAAGCACCCAATTCAAAGGTTAATCATATTCAATCGACTCTCTCAGTAAATCATCATAGACTGGCTTTTCAAAGAAACTTCCTGCAAGGATTTCAATGAATTGGTTGAAGGTTAACAGCAGAGGGAAAAATCTCTATTCTTTGTGAAGCATTAAGGGATGTGTGTATAGAGCACATGGGTTGTTGGAAAACTTTGTTGCACTATTGCCCAGAAAAACAGTTATTTTCTGTGCATATGTGAGATCAAATACAAATTTGTAAACTTTTCTCTCTAATAGACTGTATGAGTGATATCATAGAACAATTTTTGGAAAAGTAAAGCAAACCGTATAATCCACACTTTTTAAGTAAAAATTTTATTTCCAAAAAAAGGACATTCAAAATCTAATTACATATCAGATCTTAATGAAAAAAATGTCTTAAGACTTCTCAGAGGAATTTTATTATGCAATTACCATTTGCAATCATAAGTGGCTTATTATCCCATAAAAGTCGTGGTCAACCTTTACGCAAAGAATTTTATTATTGAAAAATTTAGATGTTTGGTTCACGTTTGGGCTTGGTCAAGGCCAACCTAACTAAAACTTGAAAACCTTTCTGGCTTCTTCTATCATTTTTGCAGTAGTGGGAGGCTTCCTCTGGCTGCCAGGCTGCAGAAACTTCTTCACATTGGGCAGGTTACTGATTCTGGTTTTTAGAGCCTGCAACACACAATTACAGTCTCAGTGGTGGATCTTAAAGTCCAAATCAACTCTTAGAACACCCTGAAAATATTTCCCCAGCTCCCTGAAAAAAAGACCAGCTGAGTGGTTCTATTGTCACCAGTGTGGAGCTGGAAGCACACACTTATTCATAAAGACTGTAAGAAGTAGATTGCATGACTCAATAGCATCTGCCTTGAACACCTTTTGAAAATTTTTATTGAGGCATAGTCTTTCCTACCTTCTTTTTTAATTTTTAATTTTTATTAGTTTATGTTTGTAGTATGTAATGATCACAATCCTTGTGGGGAGTTGGTACGTGTATGTGACGAACTTTAATTCTGTTTTTAATCCCCTTCTCCTCTCCTCCCTCTCTCTTCCTTCCATCTCTTGGTGCTCTTCCAATTTGGAAAAGATCTGTCTCCTTATTTCCTGTTATCTATCTTTTATTTTGCGCTTTATTTATATTTTGGTTTTCTCATTAAGAGAAACCATGCAATATTTAAGCTGTGTATCACAGCTTAATTTCACCTAATTTATGCTATCAAGGTGCATCCATTTTCCTACAAATGATTTGAGTTAATCCTTAATTATGGCAGAGTAGTACTTCATTGTGTATAAATACCACATTTGCTTTATCCATTCATCTGTTGATGAACATACAGGCTGCTTCCAACATTTAGCTATCATGAGCTATGCTCCTATAAATATGGATATGCATGTATCACTACAATATGATGTCTTTACCTCTTTCAGGAAGATACCCTACAAGAAAATAGCTGGGTCAAATAGAATTTCTAGTTTCACTTTTTTGAGGATTTCCATCATGGTTGTATTAGTTTCCATTACCATCAACATTATAAAAGGATTTCTTTTCCTTGCAGCCTTGCCAGCACTTGTTATTATTTGATTTTGGGGATGACAGCAATTCTTTCTAGAGTACGATGTTTTAATTTGCATTTCTGTAATGGACAGACATGTTGAATTTGTTTTTCGTGTACTTACTGGCTATTTGTATTTATGAGAAGGATATGCTCATTTCATTGCCCATCTTTTGATTGGGTCTTTTATGTTGGGGAGCCTACATTTTTAATTTTTTTATATATTCTAGACATTATTCCTCTATCTATCCTTCTTAGACATGCACCCTTGTCATCCATTTTCTTTGTAACATAAAAAAGAACAGTGTGCCTGTCAGACACAAGCAGAGAAATGTACTTAAACAAAGAAAAGTAGAGGTAGACTGACTTGGAAATGAAGATAGAAAATATTGATCAGGGGCCAGACAGAACCAACTTTCAGACTAATGGTATTGATGGGTATTGGGTGAAGGGCAGGTTTACAGGGTGGGAAGCTATGGGCACAATAATACGTCTGACAATGGGAGCCGGAGTTAAGGGGAGGTAATCAAATGTATAAATGCTTACTCAAATGGACTCAGTATGCAAAGACAAGGACATCTGGGATAAAAGGATTCTCACGCAGATCAGGAGGTCCACAATGGAATGAGGGGGGAGGGAGCAGCAAGAAAGATGTAGGACCCTTAGTTCTACTCCTTACAAGGGCAAATATTCTTGGAGCAGCATTCATCTCTTATTTCCTTGCACAAATAATTATCTGCATGCCAAAAATCCAAGGTCTAGAAGGTCACTTTGGAGGCATAGGGGAAGGGGTTGAAGACATGGAGGAGGCTGGAAGTCAGGACTACACTATGAAAGCAAATATGAGATTCACTGTGGGAGATGTGGGGCCGCCTCTTGAGGGCAGTGGAATAGTCACCTGCAGCAGAGGGAAAGCAGCCAAAAGACTCGCATCAACCTCTTCAACACAGTAGAGAAGTTCAACCAGGTGAATGTCAGCCCTGCTCAGCTTGTTGCCAACAAGGTAGTCTTGTCCATGACTCTTTAACACCTGCAGAATTTGAGAAGACAGACTGTGAACAGGTACAGTCAGACTGGGACCTCAGCTTTCCCCTGGGCCTCTCATCCCAACTCAACTGTGCTGCTGCCTCCCTGATGGGTGTGGAGCTCCAGACCTTTTTCAGGGCCCTAACTCATGAGGGAGGTTGAGAAGTAGGCCCTGCTCACTCCTGTGTTAGAGCCCAGGCACCCCTTTCATTGTCATGTGCATACTGCCAGCCTTCTCTGCATTTTCCACATGTGCCAAGGACTCAGCTCCTGCTGGACCACATTTTCATCTGCTCACAACCTGAGAGTAACAGCCCTGAATCCTTAGGACACACAGCTTCCCTCTGCTCTCTGTGTGCCATCTCCTGTGGGCAGCATCTCCACCCTCACAGCACCCTTTACACATGCAGACCACTTTAATGCCATTTAAGGCCTAGGGTTCTCATCTCTATTCTCATTTTCTAATTATCTCTCTGGGATCTGAGATAAACCTAGGCTAACTTGAATTCATCATTCCTTTGCAAGATGAGCTCTGAATCCTTCTTTAGACTGGTATAATCTCCATGGAAGTTCCCTAGCAGTGAATAGTGCTGATATCTGCAACTTTGTAATGCATGGAAAGTTCTATATTTGACTGATAGAAGAGTGTCCAACAGACTTGGACACATGATAGAGGCAATATATCTGGGTGATGACTATGCATTCATTCAATATTATTTCAACTTTTGTGGATGTATAAAATTTGTATAATAAACTCCTGGCAAGGTATGCTACTATTTTTTTAAAGTATTCTAGCAGTGTGGAAGTCAGAGCAATTAAAAAGCAAAAATACACATGGCATACCTTCTAAAGAGATGTCAGTAAAAACTCCTGGTACAAAAACCAGAATACAATGTCAAACACCTTATTGTAACATACATGACTTATTTTTTTGCATGGAGCTCCTAGATTTCATACTGTACGTGATTTAAACTGCCAGAGAACCTTTCACCATGTGATATGTCCTAAACCACAAGGTCCAGAGTGGTGTGTTTGATTGTTCTTAAAATTATTCTTTTCATTGGGCAAATCAGCAATGAATTAACTTTTATTGAGGAGAATAAGTGAAATGAGTATTGATGGATTAGTTCTCTAATATATTTATGTAATTTTATGTCCCTTATAATTTTTTTGGTTCTTTATTTTTATTTAGCATAAGTTCAAGTGGTTTTTTCCTGAAATTTTCTTGCTTAACTTTCACAAAGAAATCTCAACTAAGGTAGAGACTACATTTATACATTTATAATGATGGACCTTTAATTCTTCAGTTTGGATGGCTTTCCTCTCAAAACTGAGAGCCATATTCCCAAATCCTATAGGGTTCTTTTGGGGGGGGCCAGGGATCGAACTCGGGACCTTGCACTTGCAAGGCAGGCACTGGAACCACTGAGCTAAATCCCCAGGCATTCCTGTAGGATTTTTTTCTTATCATCTCTTCACATCTACTCCTCTTCATCTCTTTACAATGATCCTTGTTTGGAGTCTTCACATTCATCCCCAAAACACTACAATATTCTCAAATTGACATCTGTTCCCATGTCTCTCTACACCCATGTCAGAATCCTTTGTGACATGCTGTTCTCATCAGGTGGCTCTAGAATGAAAGCCCAGGGCCTTCTACAGGATCTGCACAATCTGAAAATTTGCTCAGAGTCTTCCACTCACTAAGTTCTCCTTGTGAATGTAACATTCTGTAAAGTGGTAAATCCTAGGTTGAAGCATAAGATGTTGAACTTTGGCTCAAAAATTATACCTTTGGTATAACCATATAATGCTTTGTCCCAGTTCACTCTTAGATATTTCCCTGAGCCTTACTGTTTCCCTGCTGGTGTTCTGAGGGCTCACTGGAACATCAAGGCTCTAGGAGCACCCAGCTTTTCTCCAGACCTCTGAACTCAGTGCCCCCAAACTCTGAGCAGACTCACTTACTTTTTCAAAGGCAGGGAAGTAGCAATTCTTTGTTTTGTCTCTGATCAAAGCCATCTTGGTATCTGTTTGATCTGGAGGAGTCAGTGCCAGATGTGAGATCATTTCATATAAATCCATGATGCCTTCTATGTACATATCAATCCTGAAAGACAAACACATCCAGTCAAATGTTTCTTTCTTAGACTTTATGGTTTAAAATCTAAGTAAATAAGAGCATTAGGTTGTTACAAACTAACTCACTTCAGTGGGTACTTCGTATATGTTAATCATTATTCTATGAGTTTTACATATGCATTAACATTTACCTCTCACATCAATCCATAGGGACACACACACACACACACACATATATGTATATATATTTTTTTGCTATATCCATGAACAAATACACATACAAAGAGCATTGGTGGCTGCTCCAGATTCACAGTCAGATCGTTTCTCAGTGTTTTGGCTAAGATCAAGTGCAGATTCACCGTCATGAGAGACCTTTGAGGAATCACTGTATGTAACCACCAAAACTACAAACAGGATTTGCCATCTCTGTGTGGTTTGTGGACACTCTTATCTGCTTCACATGTGCCTCAAAAAAATGCAGATGACAGAGTCTCTGGCACAGCTTCTCGGGCTCATCTCTGTTTTTGTCAGTCCTGTTACACACTAGAGGCTCATTGTCATGTTCAGTGTTAGAAGTTCTGCCATTTATTTCCCCTGAAATACATTTCCACAATCTTTTAAACAGGCTATTTTCCAAATCTGACCTTATTTCCATCTCTAACTATTCTGCTTTAAATAGCCCCTTCATTGGTGCATTTTTAAATCCAGTTACAAACAGTGTATGCCATGAGACTTTTCTTTTTGTTCTTTCAAGCTGGACTTTCTACAATTATTTTGAAATTTATTTGACAGCTTTATTATTACATATTCATACATCTTAGCTGTCAATCCTTGAAAATATAATACTTGTGTTTTATTACATTCCGAGAATTCTGTAAACACTAGCATTCACTATTCAGAACATTTTTATTAATCTACTCTCAAAAAATCTTGTGTGCTTTGTCAATCATTCCCCAACTCCCCCTAATTTCAGCCTACCAGCCACTAATATATTTTTAGTCTTTATGAATTTTAATGGTCTGTATATTTCATGGAAAATCATGGACTATGTGACCTTTTGTGTGTCCTTTCCTTTCTACATACAATATAATATTTTCATCATTTATCCCTTATATAATACATCACCATTTAATCTCTTTTCATGACTATTATATTCCTCTAGTACATTTTTCCCTCTCTTCATCCACTCTTGGATCTTTGAGATGTTTCTACTTTAGATAAATTTTTTTTTTTTTTGGTACCAGGGATTGAGGTCAGGTCCTTGGGCTTGCAAGGCAGGTGGCAGAACCACTGAGCTAAATCCCTGGCCCTTAGATAAATTTGAATATTGCTACTAAGTATATTTCTAAACAAGTAAAAAGATATTTCCTTTTCCCATGGGCATATACCTAGCAGAAGAATTGCTGAATAACTGTTTTTAATTTTTTCAGGAACTGCCAACAATTTCATACAGAATTTTATTTTTCATCAAGCAGCTCCAGAAATTCAACATGGCTGAATGGAGGAGTCATGTTGGACCTACTCAGAGAGAGATCAACAAAACCACAGGTAGAGGGCCGGGGATTTAGCTCAGTGGTGCCACCGCCTGCCTTGCAAGTGCAAGGTCCTGGGTTCAATCCCCGCCTCCGCCCCCCCCCCCGTACCAAAAACAAACAAAAAAACAATTTTAAAAAAACCCAAAACCCCACAGGTAATTGAAAGAAAGGGAGGGACATACATCCTCACGCCAGAATCAATCTGAAATGAGAGACTAGTAAATAAAATGAAACATAGACACAGGACTTCATAAAACACCGCATCAGCCCCTAGGGCCACTAGCAGTGTGGGCAGCTTCGAGCAAGAATCGCCACACAGGAAGTCCCCAAGAAACTGAAGGACTGAAAAAGTGCAGCTAACTCAAGCCACACAGGATAGATTTGGGAAAAAAATCCCTCTGGCCTCTTTTGCTTTCCTCCTCATAAAAGACGCTATAGCCTGGTAGCAAATTTCGCTGGCAAACACAATTGAGCGACCAGAAATAATCTGCTTCTTCCTTGAAGGAGGGGCAGCCAGCCCTCTTTTCCCTTTGCGTAGCCACAGTGAAGTTAGGAATTGCAGCGCTGTAGAGGCTGGGAAAGGAGTGACGATCAGTGGCTTCAAAGAAAGACGCGGGCCGGCATGTGGCAATTAGCCCAGGTCCAGCACCTAAGCTGCTGGAGAAGCTTGAAGCGGAATCTAACAGCCTTGGACTGTATGCACAGCAGCAACAGCAACCCCTCCCCCAACACCCACCCTATGACAAGCCTTGAGACAGGATTAGAGAAGTGTCAGTGGGGGAGAAATACTAGAGGCTGTGCAAAGACCAAGTGGAGTCAACAGGACTGTCCTTGCCCAAGGGCACCACAGCAACCTAAGGTAAGGAATTGGGGGGGGGGCGGCAGGGACAGATATCCACAAAGCTGCTGGCTGAAGACCCGCCCAGGCTCCCAAAAAATCAATCCCATACCCAGCACTAAGTCTACTGGAGACTTGGCGGAGGTACACTGTGCGGTTTTGGGACATTACTTGCCTTAGACACTACCACAGAACTGTGGACTCCAGACGAATTTCATTTTTTTGTTGTCGTAGGTTTTGTTTCCTTTTTTCTGTCTTTTTTTCCTCTTTGTTTACAGAGTTTCACCTTTACTTTTATCCTGCTCTACTCATCTTTCTTTCCTCAACAATCTCTCTTGAGCTTATGATATTTTCATGTGAGTAAAAATCGTCTCTTGTCTTTCTGGTTGATTCTAATAATTAAAACAAAGCTGAGATTCCATCTCACTCCGGAAAGAAAGCCTGCTATCAAGAAATCAACCAACAACAAATGCTGGTGGGGCTGTGGGGACAAAGGAACCCTTCTCCACTGTTGGTGGGAGTGTAGGCTGGTGCAACCACTGTGGAAATCAGTGTGGGTATGCCACAAAAACGAGGATTAGAAGTCCCATTAGATCCAGCTGTACTCCTTCTGGGTTTCTTACCAAACGAAGTAAAAATATACCACAGTGATATATGTGCACCCATGTTTATAGTGGCACAGCTTGAAATAGCTTAATCTTGGAAACAGCCCAAGTGCCCATCAACTGATGAATGGATAAAAAAGATGTGTTTTTTAATATAATGGATTGCTATTCAGCCATAAAGAAGGATAAATGAGCTATTTCTAGGTAATTGGATGTACCTAAAGGCCATACTCTTAAGTGAAATGAATCAGAAACACATGTGTAAATATCACATTGTCTCTCTGGTATGAGAAACTGAAGGTATAAATAAGGAACAAAATGTATAATAGATATTTGTGAAATAGGAAGAAATTGTTCAAAATTATACCGAAGGTGAGATACTTTGTTAATAATTAAAATATGTTATACCCAAAAAGCTATACTATTATTAGGAAATGAGTTGAGAGCTAGAACAGCAATTGAAAATATATTCTTTTAAGATCATGATAAACAGTGTATTTACCATTGTTATTCTCTAATTATTTTTGTTATGAAAAACTATTTTTCCATGGAACTGTTTTTATATTTTCTTTATTAATATATACTTGTATTACATTAGAATAAAAAAGTAAATTTTTAAAAATCAAGCTCTATGGTGACAGGAAGGCCACACCCAAAATCCCTAGCCTTAGTTTTAAAACATCACTCTGCAATTTTAACCCACCATGAAATGCTTTAGGTAGCCCTGGTGTCATGAGTGCCACTAAAATTCATCAAGGTGACCTGTCCACAGAATAAGCAGGTAATTTAGGTCCAGATCATCATTTTTATAATTTCTGAAACTTGAAAATTAGGTCTTTTGGATCCTTCCATCTCCAAACTCCTCTTTCTCCTCTTCCAATGCTGTCAGTTGTCCCAAGCTGTTGGCCAAAATCCAAATTGTAAGATACTGGGCTCCCAGGGTCACAATTTCATCATCCTCATGATTTCATGCCTCAGCATTGTTTTAAACGTCTAACACTGTACTGTGTCTGAAAACATCATCCTCCGATAGAATCACAGTCATCTGAATCTACCCCAACTATAATCTTCCCTCATCTCCCAGGACTTTGTTATTGTCACCTCATTGTATATGTCTAGGCCCACATTGCTGCTGGTCATGATCTTCCTGCCTTGGTCCTGCTCAATCAGTGTGGGACCTAAATGTTCCCTGTATCACATACTCATGGAAGAACGAAAAATATACCGTACAGGAGTCTCTCTTTCATATCTTTCCCATAGAGGTTGTATTTGGTGGCAATGTAGTTGAGAATGGCTCTGGACTGCACCAGCTTCATCCCATCCATCTCCACCATGGGTACTTGCTGGAACATCAAAAGCCCTTCTATTGGAAAAAGGCAAATAAAAAGATGATGAAATGTTTATGAGTCCCGGTATTTGTAGATGAGAATATATTTGTGCAAATGACTTTTTAAAAGGGGGAGGGATATTACTTGGTCATCTTCAGGTAAAATAGCATTTTGTTCTTAGCTTCATGTAGTCCTTCATTTTCTTATCAACCTTTCTTTTGCTTTTTAACCTATTCATTATCTTTCATTTCCCATCCACATACATACAATATCTCTCTCATGTTTTTCTGTGTGTTTTATTCACGTTCAAGAATACTGTTATGGCTTGTGTCTAGATGTTCCCCCAAAGCTTCATGTAGTCATAGGAGGGGCTTTTTCAGAGGTGGCTGGATCTATAGTGTGTGAGGGTGAGATTAAGGGTGTATAATTGCTAAATTAGTCTACTGGGTGGGTTGGCATAATTTTGAGTGTGGGTAATGGGAAGGCCCACACTGGTGTGAGTGCTACTCACCCTTACAGTGTGTGGCCTTGATATATAAGGGACAGAAAAAGGATCACTTGCCGCTTGGTATTTCACTGCTGCTATCTTCTGCCTGCCCTGTTTTACCCTTGACTCTTTCTCCTCTGCAATGTCCCTCTGCTATGCCACTCTGCCTTGGAGTCAGCTGACTATGGACCCAAACCTCTACAAACTGTGACTCAAATAAACATTTTCTCCTTAACTTTTGGTGTCAAGTATTTTGTCTCAGCAATGAGCAAGGTCACTAAGACAAATACTATCGGCGTGTTTGGAGGTGAGCTCCAAAAGTGACATTCATGATGGTCATGACATTTGTCAAAGTTTTTAAGAAAGGTATCTACATAGTGATGTCAACCTGTGTTCTTCCAAGTGTGCAGTGTTGCTGGGATATCCACTCCCAACAAGCTATAAATGAAAAAGCTCATGAAATATTGATCTCCTGTTACCTAATGCATGTGCTTGTGTGTACATCAATGGGTGAACATTGTGGGATCATGAACTGACTATAGTTCATATAGAAAGCAAGCAGAGAGCATTTACAGAGCTGTGGGAGTTGTTTAGGGACAAATACTCAGAGAGATCTAGCCTTTTTTATTCCTGAGAGAGTTGGAAAAGCTCCTCAAGAAGCTACATCTCATATTTCATCACTTGCTGCTTCTCCATCAACCCCACTACCACTCTTGCAACATATGAGCATTGTGTGACATTTGTGAGTGTGAATTCTGATACACACTCAGTTTCATTGGATAAGAAGTGCCTAGCAGAAAAAAAAGAAATGCCTAGCAGAATAACAAAGCTTCCTCCTGGGTATGTCTGGGTGCATCTTGAAGATGTGGCCTTGGGTACTATATATGAGCCCTCACCTTTTCCTTTCTGGCACTATACTCTTGCTCTGTTTCCTGGACACCCTGAACTAAGCATCTTTGCTCCAGCAGACCCTTCAGGCATGATGTCTCTGCCTTGAAGCCAGCTGATGATTGACTGAATCCATGCACCAATTTAAACCTGTCCTTCTTTAAGGTGTGGGTGTTGGGTATTGTGTCTCAGCGACAGAAAACCTAGCTAACACAGGAAATTGGCACTCAAGAAGTGGGGTCATTGATGTGACTGTATCTGGCCATGTAGTTAGAAGCCTTTGGAACAGCTTTGTGGCAGGAGTTTGAAAGTTTTGAAAGGTTCAGAAAGGCCTAGAAAAACCTTAGAATATGGTAAGAAGAGCTTGATGGGTAAATCTGGTTGGAGCTCAAAAAGAGCAAAATGCTGATAGGAATGCAAACAATAAAAACCAGGCTTAAGAGGTTTCAGTTGGGAACAAGGACTCCACTTGTAGTTGTACTAGAGGCCATGTGCATTACACTCAGGCAGAAAAATTGTTAATATTTTGCCCATGTCCCGAGACTTTACAGGAGACTGAGAGTAACAGGAGTAGACTAATTAATCTGGCAAAAAGAAATTTCAAGACAGCTCAACATTCATGCTATGGCATATGCCCTGGTTAGCTGCTTTTAGCCAGATTCATAATGAGACTTGGGAACAAAAGGCAGTGCAGGAAATTTTGAAAAATGTAAATTTTGGCTCAAAAGGAACGACATGTAAGTTAGAGCACAAAATGTGTGGTTGCTGAAGAGATTAACACCATTAAAAAGAACCAAGTATTTTGTATAGAGACAAGAAGATGCCTTGAGCCAAGCATGATGGCACACACCTGTAATTCTAGCACTTGGGAGGCTGTGGCAGGAAGATAACCATGAGTTCGAGGCCAGTGTGGGCTACATGGTGAGTTCAAGGCCAGGCTGAACTAATAGTGAGACCCTATCTCAAAAAAAAAAGATTCCTTGAGAGGATCTGAGAAATCAGCACCTATTATAGGCTCAAGGGTATAAAACTAAAACTTTCATTTGAGAAGTGAGTGCTTGGGATGTCTGCTCAAGAAAGGCCTCCTAGGGAATTTGTTCCCTGGGATTCATTTCACTGTGCTCAGTCATTCAGGCACTCAGAGTCCACTGAAGCCATGGTCCAAGGGGGCAAGGCTATTGCTCCAGCTGGCAGCCACGCTTGGTATTGTCCACCAGATACTGCTTTTACTGCTACGCAGAATGCAAGAACAGTGAGGTCAGGAAGGCTTCCACTCAGATTTCAAAGGAAGGTGTGAGAGGACATGTAAGAACCTCCTGATAGGGGCAGTATGTTAAACTATAGAAGTCAAAATTACAGTGGAGATCCCAGAAAGTTAAAGATGCCAGGATCATGAAACATTAACTAAGAAAAACTGTAGGCCATGCGTACATCCGGCCCAAGAGAGAAGCCATGTGAACTACAACTGACAAGGTCATAGGAATGGGTCTCCCCAAGTCCTTCAGAACTTACATTTAACATAGAATTTCTCAGATGCCAGATATAGAGCTACTGGACTCTATGTTCATTCTGCTGGATTTCTGTTTTGATGTAGTCCTGCTCTTTTCTATGCCCCCTATTGCTCTTCTCTGGAATGGGAATGTTTACCCTTTGCCATTATACCTTGGGATTGTCTTACTAGTTTTTTTTATTTTTACAGAGGTTCATAGCTAAAAGTTTTCCTTGAGTCTCAGAAGAGATGTGGAGTTGCACTGCAGGAACTGCTGAGACTTTAGGGAAGGAATTATGTTTCCAGTTGTATGTGGAATAGTTATATTACCTTAGTTTGAATTGTGAACTTGGTATTTTCTTTATTTGAAAATTAAATATGGAGAATTACTTGATTGTGAAGTTGACAAAGGGTGGATTGTGACCATAAATAATGATACGTCAACTTCACTGGATTAAATACCTAGCAATAGACCATGCTCCCAGGTGTGTCTGGGCAGGTCATGGAGTTGTAGTTTGGGGTACTGTACATGGCCTGTTGCCTATTCCCCTCTGGCACGGTTTCTCTGTTTTGTTCCCTGTTGTCATGAACTAAGCAACTTTGCTCCACTATCCCCTTCTGCCATGATGTTTATGCCTTGGAGGCACCTAGCCATTGGCTGAATCTTGAAACCAATAGCCAAATTAAATCTCTTTTCCCTTAAGTTGTGCAAGTCAGGTATTGTGTGCCTCAGCAACAGGAAAACTGGCTAATGCAATGTTCAAAATTCATACTGCAAACCCTCATCAGAGTCATTTAGATACTTGATCTTACCATTTTTTAACTTTTCAAAATCTTCTGGACATTTTATAAGCTTCTCTTCAAACTGGAAGAAAATGTGAAAAAAAAAAAAGCTGCTTAGTTAATTCCATAGTATTATAGTCTTTTAAACTTGAATGGTCCCTGAAGTGATGTAATGAATACAAAAACGTTAAAGTTTCTGAGTCTGGCAGCATAAACAGAGGTGTCTGATCATGGCCGCCTGGAAATTTACATTAACTCTATCATGAAAATGGCATAGATCACCACACACAGCTGCTCATTTCTATAGTTCACCTCTCCCTGGCCCCAAAAATCCATGGTTAGGTCACAGTTTAGAGGGGCTGTCACAGGAGGGCAGGGACAGGGAATTTTTTCTAGTTATGAGGTTTTAGTATTTCAGCAGAACCTGTGATGTTCAGTGGGATCAAGTAAACCATTACATTCCTATCATGATGTATGTTGTAGGGCAGTGTCAATCTAAGATTTGTCACCACTGGACCGGTAATGTAATTTACATCACTCCTCTCCTTTTCATAGTTTAAGAGGAGTTTGTAATCATGAAAAGTTAGGAAAATATCTTTCTAGCTTGCTTGGTAGGGCAGCATTTGTTGTTGATTTCCATGATCTGATAGGGTAAGGCTGTATAAGTGATGAAGACTGTCTGCCACCAATTTGCACAGCATCTACAAAACCATTAGGGATTGTGGCTGTATGCCACAGGAGAATGACCAAGTGGAGTGGCAATGATGAGGCTGATAACCATGGATGAACCTGTAATTATCAGTTTTTGGCCATAGAGAAGCCAGAAGGTCTGAGTAAGTGTCTCCAGGCAGCCCTTGCCCATTACACTCCTCAGTGATTGTTGGATGAAGAGGTAGAAGCCTTCCATGCTGAGGATATTGCCACTACTTCCCCTTCTAGTGCTGAACATATCCTATCTGGAGGCTTCGAATGTGTCTCAGAACCCCCATCTGGTGTCTGGACCATGGTGAAATCACATCATTCATTTATAGAAAGAACAAAGCCTGGAATAGCACTACTACATCATTTGAATTTTTGTGCAGTTGTTTCTTTATGAAATTAAGAAAGAATCAGGCTAAAGTATTATACATTTATGCAGGATGGAGAAAGAGTGTTCCCCAGGCTTAAGAAAATACATTACTATGAGTCTATGGAGCACATTAGAAATTCCCTTCACAGGGAATGGAATTAATATGAGAAAATGGAAAAATGGAAACAAAGCCTTTGTAAATAGGGAGGGATGGAGGGGTTGAAGAGAGGGCAGGGGAAGGATGAAAAATAAGAACCAAGAGAGATTATGTAAAGGTGCAAATTTCCAATGATGAATGTCATTATATTGTACACCTAAAATGTACC